TTATTTGTAAAGTATTCGTTTTTAACTTAACTTTCAAAAATTAGGTAACTGAGTACAATGGAAGATGATCCAGATGGAATAATCATAAAGTTAATGTATGAAAGTTTATAAAATAAATAAGTAGAATAACAATAAAAGAAAAAATATGTTGAAATATTAAAATGAAGTAAAATAAAATAGTACATCAGAAACTGATAGTTAATTAAATAAATTTCTGACGAAAATTAAGAATATAAGCAAAATAAACTATAACGTAATAACACTCGTATTTTAAACCGAATTAAAAACAATTTGAATTCCAGTGAAGTTCGTGTATTAAAAACCGAGGATAAATTTTAAGAAAGAAAATATGGTAAATTGGAAGCCTTTCCTATAACATACTTATTTTCCGATATTACCATAACTGTTTTATTCGGCTTCGGTATAGTTCGGCTGTTCTAAACATTTCTATTAAAAATTGAAAATTACAGAAGTAGAACTACAGGAGTTCTAGCTGAAATTAGACGTTGCTTTTAATAAAAGTTTGAAAACTAAATGTCTTTTACCTAATCAGTAGTAAGGAGGAAATATCAAATCCTTGTTAAACTATTAATTTGGTTGGAAACTCTTTCGCGGCGATCTTCTCTTCGGTAATTTACAGTATTTCTATTATGATCTTAATCTCATTCAAATATTACCTGCACTGCCAGATTTATCCTTCTTCCAGTTAGTAAAGACTTGGAGAATTCACTTGTCATTTTCGACTTTTCTTTCTTATTTGAGTTATACTGAAAATATTTTCAAGAAATTCGGAAACAATTTTATGATAATCTCCCAAAATTATTCTTCGCCTGGTTAAAATATGTGCCACCATTAAACATTTTTTTTTTTTTAAATTAAAACAACTTGGGCGCCAAAATATTTTTCTTTCTTAATAGCAATGGCATCAAAATTCATGTTTTTGATAAATTCTGAAGTGTCTAAAAGTGATTCATAATTTAAAAACAGATAATATTTCACTTGTACTAGCCATGTAATCTCAATTAGTAAAGCCATAATCAAAGACATTCTTTGTTTAGCTCAAAGAATGAAAAGACATCATTAAATATTGAAAATCCGTAAAATTTGTTGAATGAGATATGCTAAAAGATTAATTAATTAAGAATTCCTCTTTTGTGATTTATGAGATAAAATAATGATTCTGTTTTTCTGAAGCAGAAACAATTTTTGATGAAATACCTCAAAAACAATAAAATAATACAATATATAACATTGCATACTTATTCGAAGTTGCCAGAGTAGTTGCTAAAGCTATTGAATTCTGGTAAATCTTCCTGGATTCTATTCCTCTCAAATGAATAAGTCTATACAAAAGGATCTACATGAGGTGTACGAAATTCTAATCAAGGGTTTTCGGGCTTACCCCCCAAGCTCTGCAGTGCAGATGCCAAGAAATTAGTATAATTTCTCTTAGTTTTCCCTACATGCAGAATGGATACGAGCCAGTTTTCACTAAAAGAATCTTCCAGTGAGGCGTTCTTTCCGTTTAACACGTTGAGCGCCGTGTGCCGACCAGGGGTCATTTTCAGTTTGTTCCATTCGGACCGCGTGATGACCGGTGTACATTTGGTATTTGCTTCTTTAGCGCCGTGTTTCCACTCGTGGACACGTTTTATATGGGTTTTGCGTATGCCAGCCTATTATTCGGTCTCAAGCAACAACAGAATGATAAATAATGAATTTTTTAATTTTGTGTAAAATTAACCTGGAAAATGAATATTTTTATGCAGTGTAATTATTTTACTCATTTCTGTCTGTAGCAAAAATCGGAATCATCAGTACAAGGTAAAAAGTCTCTGTTTGCTATAGAATCACCTGAGAATCCTGTTACTTCTTCAATATCTGACATATATTCTAACTCAGCAGCCAGTTCTCCATCTGTGAGACCCCTTCCAGTCATTTTATTTCACAATCTAGAAATAATAATAAAAAACATTTTAAAGTGCCCACAGGTTATCATTCTGTCCCCACATACAAAAGTACTTGCTGAAACACCGTGACCACCCGCGCACACGATTTTTTTAGCATAAAATACCATATATACCTAGAAACAAACAAGAAATAAGCATAAAAACTCATTTGAACAACAATCCTGAAAAAAAAAAAAAAAAATTGGTCCCATAGGTCAGATTCGCCGAAATCACTGCGGCGCAGATGCTCACCAGCGACCGATGGGTAAAATCGCTGAACACTAGTAGTTTTACCTGGATTAGATTTCAAAAGAAAGGAATAACTGTATGGGCGATTTCGCGGTTTCTCCCATGGGTAACATTCCAGTTTTCCTTAGAAAGTTCTCTCCGTAGGCACTCCGTTTCTCAGTCAGATAAGCTAACATGTTTTCCCATAATCTAAAACGTTACTAACTTTCACGGTGTCTAAATGATTACAACTCGAAAAAGGCAATCCAAATGAACAGGCAGTAAAAGTGACATTTTTGATTGACGTGAGTTAAAATAACGTACGGACGTTTTTTCATATGAAGTATTTTTTTGAAAATATATGGTTGCTAAAAGATACCACATTGTCGGAAGACGAACAAAAAAAAAAAAAAAAATAATGAATAAAGTAAAATAATTCCTCCTTATTTCCTTTACAATTTAGTTTTCTTTTCGTCTCCAAAAATTTATTTCTTTTGAATAAATAAAATAAAACCTTAAAATCAAATACTTTAAGCCCCCCCCCTCCAAAAAAAATCACTACACACGAAATCAATAGCTTAAAAAACGAAAGCTCCGAAAATTAAAACAACGGCAAAAATCAATCTCTGAATCTGTATAATTGTGATTTGTGGTATCCTTTGAATAGGCACTGAATGTGCACACTCAAAAGAATAATTTTCACTGACAAGCAACATTCCCAGGATTATCTCATTCTTAGAGAAGGAGTTCAGCTGCAAGTGAAATTATCGCAATAATAGTGTCAAATATCTTACTTTTGGTCTCTCATATTATCTTTTATTGTACTATATTTATCGTTAATTAATGTATAAAAATATTCTAGAACTTCAGAAATTTAAATGTTAATCTTTATACACTGCCCATAAAAGACTTTATACAGCCATTATTTTCTCAGACCGATGCCGCGAATTGCAAGTAATATCACGGATATATACTACTAATATTTGCAAAGTATCTTAAATAAGGTTAATTCATGTTTCGAAATGTTAAATTTGAAAAGTCAGTCATGTAAATATTACTAAATTTAATTTTTTATACCTTTTCTGGTCCACGTGGCTATATTTAGAAAAAGTTAGCTCCTTAAAAAAAATAAATAACAGCGATATTTAATTTGGAAGATTAAGATTACATTTTTTGAAGATTCAGGAATCACACACAAATCAAAGAGCGAAATATTTGAATTGCTATGCAGTGAAACCTGAAAATTGAATATTAGTTCAGGAAAAACTTCTTGATTAACAGATCTTAAATGTATCTAAGCAAAAAAAAAAAAAAAAAAAAAGGAGGACAGTTCTACATATCCCTTTCTACTGGGCCGATTGATGAAACTCAAATTTCGTTTTTAATGTCTCAAAAGCGCGTCATAGGTTATATATTAGATTTATATATAGCATTATTCTAGCATACGTATTTAGATACAAAATCGGACTTTTCCTGAAATAACATGACAGTTTTTTTTTTTTTTCATATTTCGATTCTACGTCTCAAATTATGCCTAGATATTAAATTTTGTAATTTTTGGTAAGAAATTTAAAAATTGATCTTGGCGAATTTTTTCAGCTTAATCCAAGAATTAATTCACTTGGCGAACTTCTTAATTTATGGCAACCTATTTTCCATTCCTTTTCTTTCATTATCCACAAGCGGAAAAAAGTCATCTTTCATACTTTCAAATCATAGAGTGCGTAAACCACATTTTCGTTATTATCGCTTATAATAAATACTGCAAATTTGAAAATGCGCAAAAATGTAAATTCACTTATATCGTAGGAAATTTTAAATAAAAAACCTATGATTTTTTACAAGTATGCTTAGAAATATATCTACTTTAAGGTGATGGCAAAACTTTTATCGGTCATTATTCAATTTTTTTCGAAAAATTTAAAAAAAATTATTAAAAAAAACAAATTGTAAAAATAAATCAGAAAAATTACGCGAAATTTATTTGGAATGAACCTATATTTCGAAACATGAAAAGAAGAATCATATACGTTTAATAGAAAAAGATGTATTATTAAATATATATCAAATTAAATTAACATTGAGGAGCTAAAATTTTGAGAATTAATGTTTTAAAATCTATTTGTGCGATTTTCACAAAACTTGGCAGTTGGGCATAATTTGAGTCGTAGAATCGAACTATGGAAACAAATTGACGTGTCAATTCAGAAAAGTCCGATTTTGTGTCAAATACCTGTATTAGAACAATGCTATATATAACCCTAATACATATCCGTCAATCCGTCCAGTAGAACGGGAGACATAGAACTGTTCCTTTTTTTTCTTCCCCCCCCCCCCGCAGTATACGTCGCAGTATGTAATAAGCATCTCTTTAACGAAATGCAAACAAAATAAGTAGGTTCACAAAGTATCTGCAACCTTAAATGCACAAATGACTATCGCTAACTGAATATAAACTCGAGATTTCTTACCAGAGGCCATAGAACAAACATATTTCGTTTGAACTTGTTCAAGAAGAATGCCCTAGAACTGGGAATAAAATGCTAAATTTAGCCTATATTTCATTCCACATGACATTTTACAATAATTCTAATCACTTTTGTAGATGAAGGCTTCGAAGCAAGTGTTCGGCCATTCATGATATTTATTTTATAACAACCAAAGCTTAAATTAAAAAAAAAAAAAAAAAAAGTAATATATTAGAAAAATATTTGAGCGACTATAATTACTAGAAATCTATTTAATTTCGTTATTACCAACTTCTTTGTATCTAACTACCAAAACTATCTAGTTTTTCTAATTACAAGAAATTCAAACAAATACCTCACGCAAAGCTAAAACTGCTTGGAGAATTTTGTAACGCTTGCATTTTGTTTTGTATCGAGCGTTTTGTATTTTGTACAAGAAAAAAAAAAAATTCTGGTAAACAGAGATCACTTGCTTACAAAACAGCCTCGATTGGAAATAAGGAATTGAATAATATATAATTAAGCTTTTTCATAGTGGCAACAGCATACTGCAAAGTTTGTTTAGAATATTCAGCTTATGGATATTTAGCATGATAGGTGTAGAAGAATCCGTGCTTTCTTAAAAATTTCACGGACTTTTATTATATTGGCTTTTATCTAATTATTGTAACTGCTTAATATGCCCCATATGTGTCCGAGATCGTGCAGCAGCTTAGCAACAGCTGCTGTCTTCGTCTCAGTTGGAGTCGTCCAAATTTTTGCCGGTTTTATTTTCTTGCAGTCTAAGTACGTTTACCTTCTAGCTGCTCCAGACATTTGGACTGCCTTTTCTGTAAGTATTACCTACAATAATTTTCCGTCTACTCGAAGTTAATAAGCAATTAAATTTATTTCAACAGTAATTTATGTAGCTTCCTTTATACTGATCAATTTTAAAAATATAGTGAAAGTTGCTTTAATTTTATTGCAAAAATAAATGCGAATACGATTTCGATCCGTGCATGGGATCCTAGAAGAGAAAATAATTGCTAAGAAGTGAAAATAAGTTAACACAGTATTACATAAGCATTAAATTTGAGACTGGAATTTTTTGTTTTATCACAAATTAAGTTTATACTACAAAATACTACATAGTAATGGTTTGACCAGTGAAGAATTTAGAGTATTGAAGTAACTATTCAAACTAGAAATTTTATCTGTACAAGAATTACTCACTAGTCATTAATTCAACCGTTATTATATATGGCAAGGTACTTATTGGTTTTATCGACCATCACGCATTAATCCCCAAGTTTGCTGGCGTTTGTCGCCACACTACACAGAAATCCTTAAACCGTAACCAAAAGTTAGTAATAAGAAATGGGAAGTCTTTTTATTTTTTCCGTTCGTAAAGAAATCGCTTTTTAGCTCAAAGGGGCAATTTGCCCAGAAGATCTATTTCGTTTTGGCATTTTGCGTTGGTTCCCTATAAACGTCGTTTCATTTTTCAAATTGTTGCCACCCTGCCTGTTAAAGCCCTGCATTATATTTAAAGAAATTAAATAATGAAGAATTTGCATGAATGTATATATGTTTCTCGCATTGTGAAAATACAACGGTAACTAGAGATATCAAATTCTAAATAACGTAGTCCTCCACACTATTATGGGCATTTGGAAGCCCAAATTTGGAATTTGTTTTATTATCTGTTTCATATTTCGTAAAAGTTACGCGCAAAGTGCGTAATGTAAAATCTGAAAGTTTAAATTTTTTTAAATTCAAAATGGTAACAAATTCCAGTTCACCATCAAGTAAAAACAGCTGCTGCATTTTTCCAAACAAAAAGCATTTTATTTTTTATTTGAAGCTGTGAATACACGCTTAGAAAAAAGTTACATAATACCACAGAAACGGTATGGAGATACAATGTAAAAAACTGCCACATGAAAGCCTTCGCATCGGTAATTGTCTCACAGCATTAAAAATTGCATTTCCGAGAGCAGTAGCTTTTGCTACGGGTTTTTCATCATCTGAAGGATAAAATTACTTCTTTCTAATTAGGAACTGTATAAAAATCAAAACAACCTTATAATGTTTGTGAATGGTATAACTTTATTGCACTTCAGTATTGCATTTTATGATATTTCTTTGTTAGATTGACTTTTGCGAAAAACAGTTACCGATCTAAACATGGGCACATAGTTTGTTTCTTCAGTTAGAGAATAGTTTTAGTTTTCATTGTTAAATATTTAATATGCTTACTACTTTCAAACTTCCCTCTTATGGGGATCAGGTAAATAGCGGAATAAAAAAATACAGGGCCAGGTTGCTATCACCTAGGGTTCTACTTACCAGAATTCATGTTCAGGCATTATTTCGGCCGTGATAATATGTTTCATGAATTAGTAGCTACACTTGCAGAAATGTAACCACCGGAGAGTTTCTGTTTGAAAGGAATTTCGTTATGTTTATATTTATTTAAATAAATTTCTTAAAAATTGAATTAAATAAAATAATACAAAGTTGTATTTGTTTTTCTGTGTGTAACAACCCAACAGCAGCCAAGCGGTAAAGTCGCTGAACACTGGTAATTCGGTCCGAGGTTCGAATCCTTCGAACGGGCTGGCTGCACGGGCGTTTTCATGGCTTTCCCTATGTGTAACGTGTATACGAGTTGGTTTCTCTTGGAAAATCCTCGACGAAGGTATTCCTCCCCTAACGCAGATAGCCCTCGAGTACTTTGCTGTAATCGAATAAACCAAAACTAAACCTTTTCTATGTGTATAAATAATTTATATTTGTGAACATCGAATAAAATGCTTTTGTGTATCGGGAATTGCCTGTGTTTCATCAACAGTGAAACTCGCAAATTCCGTATTCTCTCCATGACCGCGATAATACAGAAATATTTCGATGTCGTATATTATATTTTCTAGTTATGACAGAAGTAATTTTACATGAAATGTATTTATATAACCACACGATGTTCCACCTCTATGATTTTAAAATTATACGTTTCATAATAAATATTTTTCCTTAGAAAGTCCTCCAACGAAGGCATCCCTCCTCTCAGGCAGGATAGCTCTCGAGTGCTTTGCCATAATTAAATAAACCAAACCGTAATAAGTATCTTTTGAACGTTGAACTTTCCAAAATTCTGGAAATTTCAAAATAGAGGCTAGTGACAAATTGTTTAAGATGCTCAATAGTAAAAATTCGTTCTGCTTGGAAAATTCTTATTTCCATATTGAACTAAACAAACATTTTTTAAAGTTAACAAGATAACTGCAAACTGGAATTTCTAGCAATATATTATTTGTAACAGTACGGAGGTGTCATCCATTGAAAAAATTCGCCATTAAAATCCATTTCGTAGTTTTCCGTGATTTTTGAAAGTTCAGCGTGCGCAAATTTTTGTTCATTCTGCATATGTATGGTGCCTATTTATCAGGAATAGCTCGCTATGATAGCTTTCATATAAACAAAGAGACCAATGTTTCCTTATATATCAGAGCCAGACAGGTAGTAAGATATTAATGGAAGCTCAAAGTTGAGGTTATTAAAATGGCGAATCTCATCTTTCAGTCAAAAAGAATTTTCTAATTTGAAAGTCTAAAAAACTGTCATGCAAATGAGTTTTTTTTTTTTTCCTTTTCCCTCCCAAGTGAACCAAGCAATAGTATTAACTTCAGTTACTAAATAACGGTAACTAGCAATTAAATGATTCCGTGCTTATTAATGAAATTGAAAACCCAGCATATATTTATAAGAAAAGCAATATAAATATAAAGATTGTTCTAATAGCTGTTATTGATCTTATGCAGCTTTAGAAATATGAATAGTATCTTAATAGTATTACAATTTCTTTCAGAGAGCTCAATGAAATACGAATGGAGATATTTGCGACTTTCGCCTTTCAAAGGAACAAGACATCGCACCAAATGCTGAATTATCATAAATTTCGCATAGGACAATTACAGAAAGTCTTGAATAACTTTAGTAGTCACCAATGGCAGAGTGTAGTTATTCAGGCTTATTCTTGTGATTTTCTGTATGTTTTATGTATCAATCAGCGGCCGAGCGGTAAAGTCGCTGAACGAGTAGGTCAACGTGAGTGCGATTCCCCACAAACGGGGCTAGCTGCATGTGTGCTTTCTTGGTTTCCGCCGTGTGTAAAGTGAATAAGAGACAGTTTTCCTTAGAAAGCCCTCCACTAAGGCGTCCGTTCCCTTAAGCAAACGGCCCTGGAGAGTTTTGCCATAGTCTTTTATGTTTCATGAGAATACAGGCTTGTTTTTGTTAAAAAGTCCTTGAAAAAAGAATCCTCTAAGGAAATACCCTTTGCAGTTATTGTAATATTCAACTTACCGGAATGATTGGTTTAATCCCCTAATGCACCAGTAAAAATTCAGAAATGGTTCCTTTTTTATACCAGTTTTATATTCTTTATTTCAATTCAACCTCTTTGGATTTTTTTCTTTAACTCAAAACGGTAATGGATATCTTCTATTGTATTCGCGTAAAAAAAATTACTGTTCTGTTATCAGGACCGGATTTAGAAATGTATGCATGCATATATGTGTTCATGTACCTACGAATATATCTGTGTATGTATATTATGTGTGTATACGAATATATACATACATACATACATGCACATGTTCATACATCCCGTTAGGATAACACAATAGTACCAAAAAAATTGAACATACTTACCCTGGTATTCAAAAATAATTTATTCCGGTATACCCGAGTTAATTGTTTTGAGTGCATTAAGAGGTTGGTTAATCTAGTGATTCTCAGTATAATAACGACAGAGCTCTTTCGGCTATGAAATATTTTTTTTGGGGGGGGGGAGTTCGCAAAGGAGAGACAAGGATCTTATTAATATTGCTATCATTCATTGCTATTATTATCATCAATTTATAAAGGCATCAGCTCGTTCTAATCAACAATTACCCATAAAATATAATTCCTAATTAAATCGAATGTATTGATTATGTGCCAAGCAACTTTTAACACATTTTCATTTGATTGCAATACTATTGACTTTTCGATAAACCGCTATTATAAGCAGAAATTTTAAATTTAATGTTATGAATATGCCCTTTTAGTGTGTTACATCATAATTTATCATAGGTGCATAATTTACTCATTCAGAAAAGTAATTCGTTCTAACATTCTATAATCGCCAGTTTCTCATATAGAAACCACCACCAAAGCATCTTTTCTTTAGAAGAGTTAACCCACGCGTGCTGTGCTGTAATCTAAATAATCCAACCTAATCTAGTTTAAAATCTCATTGTTAAACATATAAATTCGTTATCCATACTTTTGAAATTTATGCAGGTTGTGTTGAAGCAATAACATACATAATTTCACAATTTGTGAGCTTGTGTATGCAAAATAACTTAATCGCATGTTACTGCAACCACCTAGTAGAAGTCGCCAAAATGAAGCATGAGTTACAGCAGAGTACATGAAAATTGTTTGCGTAGAAAAGGACTTAAACTAGTTACTCTCAGCATTCTTATCCATTGGGCGAGTGGTAAGGCAGCATAAAAAGGTGCCTCTGTTTTACAGATTCAGTCTTAAATTGAGTTTTGAAAAGCACTATGTTAGAGCATGTGACCAACAATTAATTAAAATGCTATCTAAAACGATTATGAATTTTCAATTACGACTTTATTGTGCGTTTTTTTAATGAATACAGTTCTTAAAAAATAATGGATAACTTACGGTATAACGATTATTAAGCCTGGTAGAATGGAAAATATTAGAAATGCCTTTTTGTACATAAGAATAGTGTGTTCAAAATAGTTTGGTTACTCTTAAAATACGTAATTAAGAAAAGCATTGTAATTGATTTTATTCTTTGACTGCGCCCCAGCGACCGAGCTTTAAAGTCGCTGAATAGTGGCAGCTCGATCCGGGGTTTAAATCCCTAAGAACGGACTGGCATTATGGCCGTTTGCATTTTTTCTTCCAGGTGTAACGTTTATACGAGTCAGTTTTCCATAGAAAGTTAACCACGAAGGCATTCCTCTTACTAGGCAAATAGCCCTCGAATGCTTTGCCATAATCAAATAAGCCAACTAAACTTGTTGTTTGACTGTCTTAAATACGAACCAATTTCCTTTTGAGAGTCAGTCCTTCACGAAAGCATTCCTCCTTTCAGGCAAACTGCCCTTACGCACTTTGCCTTAAGCTATTGATCAAATGACCAACTAGTTGTGTGACAACTGTATACTTCGCTATCATATTTACATATAAACGCAAAGAGTTGCGCTAGCGACGGACGTTTTAAATCCTCGTTGCTAAATGTATATCATTTTTCCTCAAAGGACATTTGTTTTATTAAATTCGATTACTGAAATATTTTTTCTTCGTCTCGTGCTTATATTAAGTCGTTGCGGCAGGAATTCGCATAGTTTTGAGCTCAATCTTTTAAACGCTTAATAGGACAGTATCTTATATCGGAAATTTGTTATTGTGTTTGATTTTCCTTTCGATAATATTTCCTTTTAATGATAGAGAAAGGATACACGTATGTTCGTAGAATTTCCAAGATTTCTTTGAGTTTTCGGTTACCTGTAACGTAAATAAAGTAAAGAAAATTGTATTTCAGATATTATTTTCTACCCTTTGATATAACTTTTTTCTTTTAATGGTGATTTATCCATTGTAATTTTCCAGTTTGAAATTTGCCCGTTGCGCAAAGACAGAAATCCAATTATAAACTTTCGTTGGTTATTTTTAAAGTTTTTAAATAAGCGTTATGATGCAACGTGCAGGAACTGTCAATCTAATCTAATACAATCATCGTAAGTACCTTATTTATATATCAAAGGTAAATGATATTTAGATCATACGCTCTTAATGGCAAGTTCTGTGTTGGCGTAGACTGCTTATTCGGTTAAGTGACGAACAACAATTTAGGAAGAAAATGTTATGCTCCAAAATAAGGAGTGTTTCAGCAAATGCACCTGATTTAATATGCCCAGTAAAAATGAAAAATAATGTCTGGCATACATCCTCCACGACTTATTCTGCAACACCACAGCCTTTCGATGAAATTCGTAATCACTTTTTCACATATCTGCCCTCTGAGGTGGCTAATCACACACTGAATTGCCTCGAATTTCTTTCGCTGTCGGACATTTTAGGAATCTAAATCCTAGAAAATTCCAAGTTTCTAGTATTTTTTGGGCCTTGCATTAAAGCTGTTTTTCATAACAGCGCCATTTTCCACAGACTGGCTGGATCAAGAGCGTGGTAATTTAATGTCTCAAATTTTTTTATCAATCTGTGAATTGTTTTTCCATTAGGTGTACTTCTGTCCAAAGTAAACCTAATGGAAGCTTCTTAACAGTCTGTGCTTAATATTCGCCACTATTGTAATAATATGTTTTTTTTTCACTAACAAAACTTGCTGTTTCTTTGCGTCGCACTCTATATCAATTCATATCGATTAAACTGCAACGAAGCAGCGAAATGAAGTGTCAGTGATAAAATGCCGGTGCTGACAGGTCAAATCAAACTCGATATTCATAAAGCGGAACGTTTATGTGTTTTGGTATTGTTGGGACGGCTATATAGCAAAACTGTTATTTCCGTAGTGTTAAGTATATATGACTCGATAAAATTACGAGATCCTTTTTCATTAGAGCACATCAAGCACCAAATAATTTTAAAAAAATACAGGGGGAACATTGTTTATTGCTCACCTTCATAGTTGATTATATCTCTTATAAGTGTTCTTGTTTTCAAAGTAAGCTGCCCAAACTGTATAGTGGTCAGTGACGCAAACTGCCGTAGTGATGGGCATTGGTTGGAATTTCGGAGAAGCCATGAATGTTTGTAAGCAGGTAATGTCTGTGCAGCTAGACGGCAATCAAAATACACGAGGAGCCGATGAATGTACTGACGAGTGTTTAGGGTAGGAGATCCCTAGACCACTCTCTGTTATGTTTTGCCTCAAAACTGGAGCGGAGCTTTACAGTAAGGTGGTGGAACTATACTTGTACAACATACGGTGAAATTCTGTTGTCCCATCTCATTTACTTATACCAGTACTTTTCCAAGTAAATGTTGTCAATGAAAGGTTTTCAAGTGTATCATTCTATTCCTTCTCTGTTTATTGAAATGATTAACTTAAGAGTGATACTTTATATTTAAAAAATTTGACCATAGTGAAAATAAGTTGATAATGAAAGTGTTTACTTGTAGAATTATAAAAATCTTTCGGATAAATAGTCCTATTTCGAAAAAGATTCAAATTGTGCGTCTATTTATTGTTTTTACATTAAAATGAATATCACACCATAGAAAACTAGCATTTACTACTCTTCGAATAACCACCATGATAGAAATCGCCAAATTCTGGCAGTAGAGCGTTAAATAATTCTTCAGTTTTAGCAAGTGACTTAGCCATTTTTATGCTCGTCCTTTAGCTTTTAAGTTACAATGGTTTTTATAGATAGATCATGGTATTTTTGTTATAAATTCAATTTTAAAATATAATCTGATGGAGAATTAACATGCAATGGAAGAAACAGCGGTAATATTTCTGAAAAAAAAAAATTACTACTTTGTCGCAAAATTACCAATAAGAGTAATCACATTCTTAACTCTATTGCCTTTAAATTTCCACCAGAAAAAAAACAAAAAAATTCACTTGTAAATAGTTTTGATGATTGATTTTTATGATGAATTCATAATTAAATGCCAAATTTATATACATATATATATTACATTTTCGCTATTACAAATCAGTACATATTTTTTCTTCTGCGAAAAATTCTCAGTCTGCTTCAAGCTGGTTGCATTAATATGTAAGTACCCCAAAACAAAATTTACATTAAAGCATACTTGCCTTCTGCCCCCCCCCAAAAAAAACAGACCTTATTGCTAGTCTGTTTTAAATGATTAACAAGGAAGGTCTTTTTATATGATTTTCAATGAATTGGGCCGTCCAGACGGGAATGTGTTTAGTGACTCTGGCCAAAGATTCCCATTCAAATTCATTTCACAGAATACCATTCATGTTCTTTGGTCTGACAGTCGTATCGAAGTGCCCGGGTTCGATTCCCGGAGAAGGCATTAATGTAAATATTCTGTCCCTTTCTAGGAAGCAACGGTGACCATCTATTAAGTGGATCCTCAATAAAATGACCACCGCTTTTGGCTTTAGTTCCCAATTAGCCATTTTAAAGTTAGCCATTAGTTTCCCTAGCCATTAATAAAAGAAGAAGAAAAAGAAAAAAATTTTTTAAGGAATTGGATCTGATTTAGCAGGGAGTATTACGCATCAGCATGTGCATGATAACATTATAAGTTTACTCGTATGAAAAGGGCACAACACCAGAGCTAATACAACAAAAATTCCCTAATCATGAAATGTTTTGTGCAATTTCAGAATTTCTCCGTCGGGGCTGCGCTTGGCATATCTTCACGGATATGGAAGAATCTCAGAAAAGCTTCTGCAAAGCACATGTTAAAAGTAAGTAAACATTTCCCGCCTAACATGATTTAATTTTTTTAACGAACTTTTAGGATGTTTTTACTGCAAAGTACAACAGTTAAATTCTTAGTAGTTTGTTAATTGGTTATGGCAAACCATAACAATGTTATCTCTATAACAGAAAAGCTGTCTTTGTAGAGGACTTTAACCTTTTGAGGCCGGGGCTTTGGTAGCAGTAAAAGCTACCAAAAGACGGGAAATCTTGAACCGAATGCTTTTCCCCTGTTAAAATCACCTCCTATTTGCAACAAAGATTCTGTGTAGTTATGGATTCTCAGAGGGGTGCATCTATGTCGCAAAGGGAGGATCTTTGAAAGAGATAAGTGGTTGAAAACCCAGGGACGTCAAATTTACCATTTCACCCCACATTTCAGCCTGTAAAATGGGGGAAAAAGACATGGCCAATAAAGTAGACAACCCCGTCCATTCAAACAGGGAATACAACTGCCAATATATTGGCCATCCGTCTACAAAAGGTTAATTTGCTCGAATTAGCATTATATATGTAAAATCCATGACTCCTATCATGCAACCGGCTTCTTCGCCGGGGAACGCCAAAGGACTTTATAAACCATTTTTGATTCAAATAATAAAACAACATTGCAAAAATTCTTCTGAACTATTGATGAATGTTTTATTTATCAGAAAGCTTATTCTTCTCTATTTGAACCTTTTCATTTTTTCCCCCACAGAGAAATCTTCAGGCTGCCTTGATGGTTTCAGCCATTATTATAAATACAACGACGATCACTCTTCTGATTCTGGGAGAGAACAATGCTTTGCTGGCGATTTATCTTGAAACCAATGGGAGATACCATTCTGTGACTCTAGCAAGCGAACTTCTAGCATATGGTAAGTAAATTATAGGAAAGAGTACATTCAAGAAGTTTCGGAGGTTTATGACAAAGCATACAAGGGCTCTCTGCATAAGGGAAGAGATAACATATCGTTATGTGTTTTTTACTCCGCCGTTAAGAGTAAGGGGTCCCCACGGCATGGCAAATAGTATCCGCGTTTACACATGGAGAAAACCACGAAAACGTCCATGTAACCAGCCCGTTCGCTGGAAAACTCGAACCTTGGACCAAACTACCAAGTGTTAAGCGACTTTTACTGCTCCATCTGCTGGTGGGCCTACCATCTTTTTCTGAAAATAAGACATCCTCCGAAAATAAGCCCTATCGTGATTTTCGGAATTTTTTGTATAATAAGACATCCTCCGAAAATAAGCCCTATCGTGATTTTAGAAACTTTTTGTAAAATAAGACATACCCCCGAAAATAATCCCTGTTAAAAGAATGTGACAAAAATTCGTTGAAAATGCTGTTGATTTTTAAGTATAAGTAATAATTATTTTATAGCTTCCTAATACTCGTATTTCAGAAAAATGTTAAATAAAATATTCCGAGAAATTAATTGTTTACCTCTACAGTTCGTTTCAATTAGTCTTGGAATTTACCTTAAACCATTTCAACCGTTTTCCCGAGAGAGATACGTTCACAGGAAGGCATCGTCATCCGTTAGACAAAATAACTGATAGTGATTTTTCCAATGTACTACAACAGGCTACTTACAAGAAGTATTCATTTACTATAGCTATATCGCAAGACATGAGATTCGGACCAATGATTCAACAGAAGGGATTTGGAGAAATCAAATATATTCAGAATTTTATTTATGACGATGTTCCAGAAGAAGTGACCTGACTGTAATTGAATAAATTTAAATTTCTGGTTTTCTGTGAAAAAAATATTAAAAAAAAGATAATAAATACTTTTATTTTTTGCCCTCCTCCAAATAAGCCCTAGCGCTATTTTGGACGCAAAAAAGAACGTTAAGACAGTGTCTTATTTCGGAAAAGACGGGAGAACATACTTGCCCAGTTTTTCTACAGAAATAAAGCTGCAGATTGCTTGTTACCATTTAAAATAATTATTGTTCTTATCGCTCATAAAGCGTCTGAGTTCAAGTAGCTATTAACTCTAACTTCTTAAAGTCTCAGCCGTTTTATTTTTATTTCGCTTTTTTTTACGCTAGGCATGTTATGTTCAGAAATCTTATCGAAGTCGAAAAAGCGATGATTTTTTTCCATGTAAGTATCAGCTGGCGTAGATATCTGCCTAGAAAATAAATGTTTGGTACATTTTATTCTTAAAGAGAAAAGGTGTGAGATTTCTAAATGAAATTGGTTCTTATTTATATTTCCCTTTTGTGGGCACTCTATTTAGCCCACAAGTAGAGACACAGAAGATCTAGAGAGACATTGTTTGTCAGAGGGTTCAACAAGAAAACATTGTGAAATATGTGGGCTATAAGAACATGCTCGGAAGATTAGACTTCCTAAATAAATTGAAAACAATTACTAAACCATTTACTTTCTGATCATTAAAACTTATTAAACTGAATTTTTTTTTTTTTTTTTTTTTTTTTAGTCCAAAGGATTGTCCCGAAGGACTATTGCTTTTTGCGAGTTGCGTCGGACTCATAAACGTCCGTTCACTTTTCAAACTGTTGCACAAAAGTTAGAGTCCTGCTTATATTTGAAGAATTAATAATGAAAATCTGCTAAATGATGTCTAATTCTCGCAGTGTGATAAACATGGTACTGAGCCATCGAATTTGAATGACGAAATCCAACTGCGAATATGGCATCGAAATCCCAAATTTGGAATTTAGTTTTATTATAGATTTTATATTTTGTAAACTTTAACGAATTTTGTTTATTTACAACTCCATCTTAAAGCGAGAAATGTCAACTTTATATAGAAAAAAATACTTTTATCTCCAGCTCGCGAGACTGTATATACGGAAATCTAAAGCTATCTTAATTTAACATATTTTGCGATATTGCTCTTGAACTGAATTATGGTTTAAGTGCAAAGACATGATTTTATAAATAAAGGTAACACTCAAAACGTTAAAAAAACGCCCTTTGGACGTAATTTAAAATCTGCAACATTTCAGTTTTTTTTTTTTTTTTTTTTTTATATTTTTATTCTTATTTTCAAGTTTGTGAAGATCGTAACAAATCTTATCAGTGTAAACTGTCAATAAATTTGCCTAGTTTATTTGCTGAAGTGTCAAGGAGCTCTAAGATTTAAGTAAAGGCTCCAAGAATTCGTTTATCCTTCTAGGACAACCTTCACTTCTCCAATTAGATAACTAGATCCTCTATGGTATATCTAATCTTGCATTTTCCAAGCGAAAGATATTCAATCTATTTTCTTCGTATTAGTCTATGAAAATAGAATGAGATATAAACTCGTGGAAATACTGCTAAGCTTAAAATTTACTAGTAACATCGTGTCCGCAGAAGTCTTTATCCGGCGATGAAAATATATTTCCGGTACCAAAGTATTTGAAATGACTAGAAGATTCGTATTTTTAAATTTTTGAAAAAAGTATATTTTATA